CAATGTGTGGCAGATACAGCTATTATTGTGGGGACTGTTAGTGCCCTCAAAGACCTTTAGCCCGAGTAGGAAAAAGTCACTGTTCTGTTATTATTTGAATGTGTTGTATGTGTTTGTTGCATTATTATATAACATTGTATTTTACATTGTTTTGCTATGTTAATAAAGGGCTACGATGACCATTTTGATTCCAAAAAAGTGAAGAATTTGTTTTTTTAATTTATGAAGTGGTCAGGGGTTCTCTTAGGGTTGCAAGGCCAGGGGTAATGGAGCCTCAGCATCCTGAAGTCCCTCAGTCAAAAGCAGAATCCTGAATAGAAAGGCATGTGGGGACATGCTGCAAAAAAAAAAAAAAATCTTGCTCTCTATATGCAATCAGTGGTCTGTCTACAGAGTTCTGAAGAGTATCCCTGCTGAGTCAAAACAGAACTTCAAAGTTAGTATGGAACATGAGTTTTGCTGATTGCAAAGCAATTGGTTTGACTCAGCAGGGGGCATAACAGCTCTGCAGAGAGACCACTGCTTCTACACAGAGAGCCAGGGTCGCAGCATGCTGGCAGGAAAAGTCTATTTATGCTGTAGCTGCCATATAGAAAGAACAGACTGTAAGGATCTTCATACATATTTAGATTTATCTCATTCAGCTCCGTAAGCTGAACAAGAGAAATCACTCAGATCCCCCACCTGCACTAAAATGCATGGATGGAGGAATCTCCCCTATACACTGTTGAATTGAGACAGCCACAGCAACTACAGCCGTCTGAAAACTTGAACAATGACCTGTAACTGATGGGGATGTGATCACTGTTTGGCCAGCAATTTTCCTCCTAGCTAGTTGGATTTTTTTGATCAACGTTTGCTGAGTCAGGTGGTACTCTAATTTCCTGGTTAATTCTAGTCACTTTAGGTTAGCTTTCAGTTTAGCTTAATTAAATTGAGAGATCAGTTGAGCTTTAATATTTTTTCTAAAACTTACAACTTGCAAATAGTTCACATTTGTATTCCTTTAAAATGTTTTCAGGTTCCTGTTGCCATTCTGTGAACATCTTCCTCTACTTCATCACTACGCTGTGGAGTTTAAGTCTTGAAAATGAATTGATCCAGTACAGAATCCTGAGGACCACTGAAAATAGATATTTACAACCACCATTTCATCATACTATTTTGCCTATACACTCTCCTCTAGTTTCTGTATTTTAAATTTTTAAAACGGTATCAAAAGCTTTTTCAAAATTTTATTATCAGCCTTTACAGCAAATTTTATGATGTTTAACTTACTGCCTAGGCAAAACTGGGTCATACCAACTTTATTGTCCAACTTCCCCTTCCCCCCTTTTTTTCTCTCTTCCTCCACCCTTTGTTGTCTCCTTCTCCCTCTGCCCCCCTTCTCCTTTCTGTTTTTATGCTTTTTTCTTCATACCACACACACAAATTAGGGCGGTTCCCCTTTTGGTCAGAGGTCCTTATTGGACCAGCGGAAATGGATCACTCCTTATCCTTGGGCTTGCAACATGAAGGACTACATGATTGTTTGAAAGTGTGTTCATTCTCCGTATACTCATTGACTTTTCACCCTTTTGGTATGGCACCTTCGCAGGCCCTAGCGGCGATATTGCTCTCTTTCCATCCTGAATATGTTCGTCGACATGGACTTCAATTCATGTGTTGCTTGCTCAATGCTAGTAATTATGCCTGTTACCAATGGATGTGCGTTCTTATGACTTGTTTCTTTTGATTAACCATAACCTCCAGAATATTTACCCTCCTTCATGACCAGACCATTTTTTCCAGTACGGCGCTGCGTTTCTTTAACTGACAATTGTGCGGTCATGCAACGCTGTACCCAAATAAAATGTATGCCATTTTTCCCACAAATAGAGCTTTCTTTTGGTGGTATTTGATCACCACTGGGTTTTTTATTTTTTGCTCTATAAACAAAAAAAGACCAACAATTAAAAAATATATTTTCTTACATTTCTGCTATAAAACATATTCAATAAAAAAAATAAAAAAATCATATGTATTCATAAATTTAGGCTGATATATATTCTGCTGCATATTTTTGGTAAAAAAAAAATCCCAATAAGCGTAAATTGATTGGTTTGCTCAAACGTTATAGTACCTACAAATGGCGGTATGTATACTGGAATTAAATTTATACTAGTAATGGCGGTGATCACCAACTTAGAGTGGAACTGCGGCGAGCATTCTTACTCTGGGGGGGAACTAACTGCCACTGACATCCCAATGACACTAATACAGTGATCAATGCTAATAAAAAGCACCGACACTCTACTAATGGCACTGGCAGGAAGGGGTTAACATCTGGGGCGATCAAAGGGTTACCTGTGTGCAGTATATATACTGGAATGTTTTTTTCTATACTGGTAATGGTGTCAATCTGCAACTTATAGCAGGACTGTGATAATGCAGCGGACAATCTGGCTCTACCTGACATTAACACTTTGTGGGAACCAGTGACACTAATACAGTGATCAGTGCTGTAAATATACACTGTCACTGCAATAATGAAACTGGCTGGGAAGGAGTTAAACATCTAGGGTGATAAATGGGTTAACTGTGTGCCCAGCCAGTGTTTTGTGTACACAGTAATGTGTTTTTACTTGGCAATCTGCTAGATTTTATTCCCTGTTTTGCAGGGAAAGAAAACATAGCAGATCGCTGCTGACAGGACACAGCTCTGCCTTGTTTACATAGGAAGCGCTGTGTCCTGTCACTCTCCTCACCAATAAACAGGTGCCAGTGCTCATCCGTTGGCCGGCACCTGTTAATCAGCTTCTGCTGTGACAAATCACCAGGAAGTGAAAAATTAAGTATATATACATGACTTTACATAGAATGGCAGTAAATCTGCTATAGGGAGGCCAGGAAGTGGTTGATATGGAAACTGCCTTTTTATTAAATAAAAAAATTTAGTAATCAGTAGTAATCAATAGTAAAAATTCATATTTGCTATGAAGTATAAATGAGTGCCTCTTACAGAAACTGTCCTCAGAGTTATTGTTTAAAGTCATGTTGGGCGCCCCATATATCCCTAGACCCCATCCAAGGTGTTTACCACAAATAAAACAACAAAAACAAGCCCATGGACTGGCTACTGACTCTGAATGGAAGTTGGAAAAATGTGTGTTGCCTGGCTGTGCAAGAAATAGGGGAACCCAAATTCAGCAGCTCTCAAGGGGGTTTCTTGTCTTGGATTTCATTGGAGTTCCTTGTGGCAACATGCAAGGCAGTTGCCTGTAGCAACCATGGTGGACTGCTGTAATCATGTGCCAAATTAAAAAAGAAAAAAAAGCGCCACTTACAAAAAACACCAAAGTGTCAGCAGCATATCCCACCCAAAATAAATTTTGGCAACAATAATCCAAATTAAAAGGTATGCGCTAATAACAAACTTATACAAAAGTGTATGTCATCATCCAAAAAACATTAGTGTTTTAAATAAATTATAGTGTCCAAACATAAATTAGTGTCCAAAAAAATATATATATCTTCAGTGACTTGAACCAATTGTGAGAAATCCACCACCAAAGGAGATTAAATGAACTCACCAGAGCTAATGGCTGGTCAGATAATAAACCAGCAACAGTGCTTGTGCTCTGGGAGCAATGAACCCGATGTCCAAATAGATATGGTGATGTTTCAGATACTTCCAGATAATAATAATCACAGCCAAACAACTTTGCAGCCCAAGCTCTTATGATGAACTTCTCCACTCTTTCTCATACCTCCATGAGAGCATGCAGTACACTCAGGGACAAAAAAGAGAACATAATGGTGCAATACGTTTTTTTCATTTATCTCTTTAATAAAAAAGGTATAAGGAAACTCACAAACAAGGTGTCCAACAGACACCAGCTTCAATCGCAAAAAAGGGTTGAGATACAGTTAACGCTCACCGCAGATCTCTCCCATACAACACAGACCAGCAAGGCTCTCTAACGTCCACATCAAGTAGGCCACGCCCAACCGGTTTCGTCACACCGACGTCATCAAGGGGCGGTACAGATGGGAACGTCAGACAGCTCTTATAAATACCACCCTTCATCTACATAGTTTTAACACCCAGCCAATCACTGCGTTCCTAGTCTCGCCGGCTAGAACAGGTGTTTACCAATTTAATTATACATATACACTCTACTACATAAACAAAAAAGCTAAATATATATACCCTGCAGGTTTGAATCAGCACAATACCGTTCTCCTTCAAAATCACCCACAAAAAAATATAAATATAAAAACATAAATATATGCAGAAAAGCAATATATTCTCCTTCAAAATCACCCACAAAAAAATATAAATATAAAAACATAAATATATGCAGAAAAGCAATATATACCATCCTGTGCATGGCTCTTCAAACCACAGAAAAACACTTAAAGGGCCATGCACAGAACTTAAAGCACAACTCTTCTCATACACAAAAAAATCAAAAAACAATTTTTTTTATAAAAATATAAACCAAATTAAAAATAAAAACTATATATAACGATCACTACATGTAATCAATATTTTAAAATATTTATCTTAAAAATTAGTCAAAAAACAATTTAAATCAATATCTATATTTAAACCTCTTGGTACTAAAGACTCCAATTCATATATCCAAAAAGTCTCCTTTTTTGATATTTCTTTAATCAGATCTGAACCACTCCAATGACTTTTTACTCTCTCAATTCCATAAAATGTCGCTAAACTCGGATCACTATTGTGTCTTAATTTAAAATGTCTTGAAACACTATGTTTGTCAAACCCTCTCTTTATATTGTTCAAATGTTCATTTATCCTAGTCTTCAACTGTCTCCCTGTTCTTCCCACGTACTGAAAATGACACTGGCATTCCAAAACATAAATCACATGAGAGGAGTTACACGAAATAAGTTGTTCGATCTTATATTCTTTCTTAGTTATATTTGAAATAAATTTCTTCCTCTTTATTTTATTCGATCTATTTATCGTTCTACATGCTTTACACCTGTTACAATGAACAAATCCCTTCAAATCGAAAATTGAAAATACCCTCAATCTCTTTATACTGATTATTAAAGTTGGTAATAAAAGCCATATCAAAGTTGTTATTCTTTATCTTTCTATTAGACAGAAAAGTACTTCTATCCTTTTTATCAATCATTTCCCTTTCTGTTGACAAAAAAGGTTTTTTATATCCTTTCTCAATAAACCGATCGATCAATACATCAGTTTGATCAACAAAATCTTTCCTTAAACTGCAATTCCTTTTAATTCTCGTAAACTGACTTCTTGGGGTATTATATAGCCATTTAGGATGATGTCCACTTGAAACCGGGGATATAGCTGTTTTTATCAATCAATCATGTGGACTACAAGAGTCATCCAGTTGTCCAACAGTGGCTGAGATTAGTGACTGTCCTGCTTCAGATTCTGCTGATTTCAGTGGGAAATGCTGATCTCTATACTGTCACACGTAGCAACCATAGCAGCTCTTGTGGGGGTAGAGATACATTGATAATCTGTTAATTGGGGATGTGGTGCCCAAGTGATCTCCCATCAGTCCTCAAAGAAGTAAAAGGGAAAGTCTCAATGATTACGGTTTTGCACAGTAAGATCCCATTCTATGGTGTTCAGAAATTATTTGGTTATAAATAGAAAAACATAATATTTCATGTTTTTGGGTCACTGGTTTGCATGCATAAAATTCTTAGGTGTCCAATGTATGTTTTCTGGGATTTTTAGACAAATTTAAATGCAAACTGGCAAACAAACTGATATCTGCGAATTCCATGTCTCCCAATCAAATTGATCTTCATCCTTGGGTTATATAACACCTTACTTAGCTCCTACTAGCTTTCTCATGGCTCTCTGAACGTCTTTATTTCTTAGGCTATAGATTAAAGGGTTTAGCATGGGAGTTATCATTGTGTAAAATACTGCCACCATTTTGTCTACATCCTCTGGGACTGAATCCTCAGGTCTAATGTACATGCATATGGATGTCCCATAGTAAATGACCACCACCGTAAGATGGGAAACACATGTTGAAAATGCTTTGTTCTTTCCCAAGTGAATTGTCGTGATCGTGATTATGATTCGGAGGTACGACATTAGAATTAGTGAAAGTGGGATAAAAAGCAAGATGGTCGTGAGAACCAGTTTTAAGATGTTGACTGCTGAGAGATCACTGCAAGAAAGCTGAATCAGTAAAGGACCCTCACAGAAAAAATGGTTGATGGTGTTGGGGCCACAATATGTTAAACGAAATGTAAAATATGTATCAATAGATGAAATTATGCAGCCAGTCAACCATGCCATGCTGATCATCCGCACACAAACCATTGTGTTCATGATCATATTGTATTGCAGAGGGTTGCAGATGGCAACATAACGGTCATAGGCCATCAGGGCCAGAAGGATGCATTCCGTTTCTCCCAAAAACAGAAAAAAGAAAAACTGTATAGCACAGCCAGCAAATGAAATACTCTTTTTTAGAGAAAGAAAGTTAGACAGCATCTTGGGTACAACAGTGGAAGTGTAGAAGATGTCTAAGAAAGACAAACTAGACAAGAAGATGTACATTGAGGTGTGCAAATGTTTGTCAGTCCTCACAGCAACTATCAGAAGTAAATTCCCGGCCAGTGTGGTGATGTAGATTGCCAGGAAAATGAAAAACAGCAGAATTTGTACTAAAGGGTCCACAGACAATCCAAGAAGAATAAATTCTGAGACAGTGCTTTGGTTTCCAGTGAGCATCTTAAAATTTTCAAAACTGTGATCAAGGAATATTTTTGGCTTATATTAGATCATCACATTTAAAGTAAAGAACATGGAAGCAAAAAATGTGATAAAACTGATATTGAATATATTGAAAATGTTCCTTTGTCAGGGATTTGAAGCATATACAATTAAAGAAATGATAAACCTATTTAATAGATAAAACAGATACATATGAATCCAACAATATGAAGCTTGTCAGAATAAAGCAGGATTAACCTTTCATTCTATGTAGACTATTTTCTTGGTAGCAATCCAATATAAAGAATATATCTGAGTAAATATCCTAATCTCAGGATCTCTCAGCTATTTGCTGTAAACATCCATTTTATCATAGCTTTACTGTTGCAAAATCCTGCATAACTGAATGGCCTTCTTTACCTGGAATCATGATAATAGTACTCACTCATCTGGATAAATGTCTAATTTATATCTTAAACTTTTAGGTGCTTAGGTAGCTTTGCCCCCCCCCCCCCCAGCCAGCTTATTGGACAATGAAGGGAATGTAGCATACTGATGTGGTCATTCCTTCATCCCCCTCCTGCAAGCATGTTCACAATGTTAGACTGGCTAAGTCCTGACTGGCTCTGATGCTGCTGTAGGGGGATTATAGGACACTCAATAGATCCTTCCCACTGATGTGTCTGCATCGGTGACCAGGGCCATGGATAAGGGGGTACCACCAGTCCTCCTGTATGGGGACCAGGAACAGCAGGGGGTCCCAGGCACTGCAGGGGGGGAGACAATTACTGGAACTGGTCCCCTGTGTGGTGCTCTCTGCAGTAGATGAAAGCTGGCTTCTTCTCCTCTTCTTCCCACTGGTTTTCAGTGGCTGCAGAGAGAGCACTACAGGGGATCGATTCACGTTATTGCCCCCCAATCACCCTGCCTTTGCACCATACATTTCCCCCTGCTGCCCAGGCCCCCCTGTGTACCCCCACCCCTGCGGTGCTGCTGACTTCCCTCCTCTCCTTCCCATTGACAGCAGCAAGCACACAACAGGATCCTTCAGGATGGAAAGTGGGGGGAGGGTCCGGTAAATATGTCACATTTAGCAGCCCCTTCCTTTCCTAAATGAACACAATGAGTGATCGCTTCCAATCACCCACTGTGTTCATTCATAACTGAAGCATAGTAAGAAAAAAACTGGGGCCCCGTGGTTTCTAATGGCAGCCTTATCAGTGACACCCTATTCTGGCAACACATGAATTGCGAGTTTTGCTTTTGAATTATCCCTTGGCTCATTTACAGTAGCAGCAATGCAATATGAATGGTCGGCAATAAACAACAGATTTTTTTGTACGGCATTAATAGGCCAGAATTGAGTGGTGGAAGGATCAGAGACAGTAGATCAGATCTAAAATCTAGCAATGAGTATATACTTGTAAAAAAGAGTTAAAGCCATTAACTTCTTGCCAACTGCTAAACTGTGGAAAAAATACTTTCATAACATAAGGCGTGATATTCTTTTCAGTACCACGCTATATGGTGTACACAATTTAATACAAATTAAATTTTGTACACCATACATTGTATATTAAGAAGGAGGGGCAGCACAGTGGCTAAATGGTTAGCACATCCACCTGTCAGTAGTGGGGTCATTGGTTTGAATCCCAACCATGGCACCACCTTCCTAGAGTTTGCATTGCTCCTTGTGCCTGCATGGGTTTTCTCCAGGTACTCCAGTTTCCTCCTACACTCTAAAGACATGCTGGTAGGGTAATTGGCTCCTGTCTAAATTGTCCCTAGTATGTGTATGAATGTGAGTTAGGGACCTTAGATTGTACGCCCCTTGAGGTTTAAGGACTGATGTGAATGTACAATATATGTGTAAATTGACGGCGCTATATTAGTACTTGTAATAAATTAGTACTAAAGTATTATTAACAAAGTGTACCAAAACACCTCAAATCCACATACCCACATTTCAGAGATGAGGCAGTTGTTATGCAAAAAAAATTAGAATGCTACTGTATGTTGTAGAGCCCATAGCCAGTCAGATGTCACAATGGTTGTAGAGTATGTAAGTATGCTTTGTTGGACAGCAAGAGGGAGAGATATGTAACTTTTTTTTACCAAGAAATGACAGTTAATAGTTTTTTTAAATAAAATACCATAGCCAGAAGTATTGTATGGAATCACTGCACATTATATACACAGTTTTTGCTAGGCTGCTATGTTAGAGGACGGGATGAGACAGTTTTTACTTAAAAACAATACAGTTTATTATATCAGAGCCAGGAGCCTGGAACATACAGTAGCAGGGACACACTTAACATCATGTAAGCATTTTTAATAGGCTGCAAAGGAACAGGAAAAGACTAGGCAGGTTTCAGCATGAAATAATTTTTTTTTTTTTTTTTTTGACACTGCATACAGAAACATTGTACAGATTTGCTGGGAAGTATACACTTTTTTTTGGTAGAACGCAATTTCAGAGTAAGAGATCCGGAAAATATAAGATTACAGCATTTTGTTTTTCCCAGACTTTGTACAGATTTTCAGCACAGCTTTAATTGTATTCATAGACAGCTACAGTATCAGAAGAAGTGAGCAGGCAAATTCCATCTAGAAATAAAAATATGTGTCTTTTTCTGAGACAAAAGGCAGAAAAAATGCACATTTGCAGCACAGGCTTTTTGATAGGACCATTACTTTAAAGGAAGAGAGCAGGCATGTTAACGCCTGTCAAGAAGTAGCTACTTCCATCCAAGGATATTTTCAACTGAACGCAATTCCTGACACCTCCCCAGCTATGTTATCGGTGGTCCTACGAGGTCACCTTATATTTATGGCAGCAATCAGGAATAGGGAACGTTAGAAACAAATTCAAAACCTTACTAGGGAATTGGAAACGCATTACAGAACTCATGTAGGCAACCTGTCTCTCTTGAATAGAAACATGATATCGCAAAAGCACTTAGCAGTGAATAATTTACTTTCCCAAAAAATGGAGAAAGCTTTGCGTTGATCTAAAGCTTCCTTTTCATCACATAGCAATTCAACCTCAGCCGGGGTGGACTGACAACTCATGGGGCCCCCAGCAAATAGGGGATCATGGGGCCCCTGTGTCCTTGTCCTTGCCAAAACTGAAAAAAGCCTATGAAAAAGGTACCAGGGGCATCTCATGGGGCCCACTACTGACCCCGGGCCCTCAGGCAGTGCCCGAGTTTCCAAATGGTCAGTCCGCCCCTGGCGTCAACTATGTTCGCATGGAAACGTAACCATTCTATACGGTCTCCACATATCTATAAGCTATGTACTAAGAATGGTAACATTTCATCTTTGCCTCATGAAGTTCGGGAAATCTTTAAATAATTTTACTCCTCCATGTTAGCTCCCCCACAAACGATTCCCACTCCCCTTGAAGGCTCATGGCTTGATTTTCTACCCCTCCTTGCTCTTACACCTTCTCGGACCTATTTCTGTAATGTATAATGATTTAAAGATATTTAGCCGTATCTTAGCAGATAGATTGGCACCTATTATCTCCTCTTTGGTCTCACCTGACCAATCGGATTTATTCTAGACCGACTTATCACAGACAATATACGTCTCACATTAAATGCTATTCAGGATGCCAATTTGCATTCTAAAGAAGTGTTGTTACTGAGCCTAGACATTGCAGTAAAGCCTTTGATAGTGTCCTCTGACCCTATTTGTTTTCCCTGCTGCAGAAATTTGGCTTCAGTGATGAATTTTTGTCTGGGGTACGCTTCCCTCCAGACAAAGATTAGACTCCCAGGTTGTAATTCCGACTTTTTTACATTGGGCAGGGGTACCCCTTACTATTTGCGCTTGTTTTGGAACACTTGGCTATTGTTATAAGATCTCTCCCGGATATTTCGGGGTACCCACTTTTGGTCTCACAATTCAAGTTATGCACGTATGCTGATGATGTGATGCTTTTTCTTACTAACCCATTAGTATCGATGCCTATTTTATGTACGTTGCTGAATGATTTTGCATCCATATCGGGTCTCACAGTAAATTTTACTAAATCAGTTGTCATGCCTATTAATGTCACTGAACCCTTGGGGGGTTCGCTCCGTAGCTTTTTCCCATTCCACTGGTCCATGGACCAGATATTATATTTGGGGGTCTATCTTACGCCCAGGTATTCTGGACTATTTGTAGCTAATTTTCCTCCATGTGTATCTCACCTTTCTACTTTGCTAAAGATCTGGCATGGGTACTCTATCTCATTTTTGGGTAGGGTCACAGTGGTGAAAATTAACGTTTTACCTAAATTACTTTATTTATTTCGAGCACTCCCAATTTCATTTTCAAAATCATCTGGATCACTTTCAATGGGTGCTTAATAATTTTATCTGGCGTAATAAGCATCCACATTTTACCTCATCCATTCTGTATAAGTCACAATGCACAGGAGGCCTCGGCCTCCCCAAATTTTGGCTCTATTACTTATCTGCCCATTTCTCACAATTGGTACAATGGGTGATTATTAACTCCCAGACCCCTTGGGTTTATTTGAGTCTCAATCTATTCACCCATTCAATTTACCGGGTTTATTATGGACGAAAATCCCCCCTAGCTTTTTGTTGACCCATAATTTGATTGTCACCCTCTCATAGATACTTTGGTCACGCTATAAACTTAAATTGGGTCTTGTCTCTTCTGTTTCACCGTCATCTTTCGGTGACCCAAATTTTGTCTCAGCGTTTTTGTCTCCACATGCGTTTCGCTGGTGGTATGATCGAGCCCTTATCAGATTATCTGATTTTCAGAGGGTGGGTCTTATATCTCATTTGAAATGTTATGAACTCTCTTTGATATCCCACTTCGTGAACACTATCGTTATTGGCAAATAAGACACTTTTTTAGCTAGCATTTTCGAATGACATCTTCGTCTCTGATCACGTATTTCAAACACATTAGTCATGACTTTAGGTGTAGGTGTCTTATTTCGGACTTGTATTGCTCTTTTTCGGCGGCTATCTTTCCCTTACCCCCTTGTA